GTGGGGCGGTTATGAGTCCGCGGTCGCGAGGTGTTGTCATGCAGAAGGAACACCAAGGCTACTGGAGTCTCCGTGTTCTGTTAACGCCCTTGCTGCCCAAAGTGGAGGAACCGTTGCGCTAATGGGTTGTGCTCTGCCATCATTTTCTCGATGTCTAGTAGTGCAACACGATCCAGATCCGCGAATATACCAAGACGTCGCCTCGCGCGGTGTTGCATGTCTGGCTCCACAATGTAGATCTGCGTAAACGCTTTGGAGCCACCCGTGCGCCTGTCCGACGGTCTATGTTGGGGAGGAGAGACCCTCGGTAGTGTCCCATAGCCCCTTGTATGCGATACGTGTACACCCCGTGTGTACCGGCAACGCTCTCGTCTTGAAATACGTTTTGAAACGATCGGTTTGAATACGAAACACCAATCGACGTAAACGCAAAGGATTGGTTGTAGGCACGGATTTGACGGCGAAACTCGGGATCTCCCTACAGCTGAAGCAGCTCCGTTGCGCGGGGTGCAGTGGAGGCAGCTTTACCCTGCCTGCCAGACAGCATGATATTGCAGACTCGCCTGGCCACTTCCAAGCCTTGCAGATCGGGAAACGGTTGTAACCAGGAGCTTGTGCCGGCCGTTTACCACGTCGTCACCCGTTATCATGGACACGTCGAAGACTTCATGGGAAATAAGAGCATGGTCATGACGGGTGCATTGGCGTCTAGTGCGCACACGCTCGAGTTCCTGCTAACGTTCTTCTTCCGTCAGCCCTGCTCTTCGAATGGCCTGTCGTTGTCGGTCTAGTTCACGTTCCGCTTCCCTTTTTGATGCTCCGCCAGCTGTTCACGCCGAAGTGCGTGTTGTTCACATTTTACATCGTGTTCGTGTTGGTATTGCTCTTGCGTCAGCCCTTCTCTGTGTGCCGCCACATGATGTCGGTCCTACTCACGTCGTTCCTGAAGCTCCTCCTCGTGCAGCCTAGCCCTTTGAACACCCTTGCGCTCAGCGTATTTCTTCCTCCCACGATCACGCTGAGATAGTGTCATATTAATTCTCCTCGTTCGAGCTCGCTGTGCGTCGCGTGTTCGCTCGCAATCTACCTGAGACAGTCCTATTAGCTCTTTTGTCGCGAGCTCGCTGCGCAGCTGAGACCGGGACATCTTCTCGAACCACTGGATCAGATACGACAGGTACTGTAAATAAAGCCGTATCCTCCGTTTTAGCTTGGTACGACGCCTTCATTTCAGCCGCAATCCGGCGCTGATGTACCACAGGTTCGGACTCTTCTGCCTTTTCCTCCCGCTCTTCAATTCAGTTAGCTTGACCTTCCGTAAATTCCGTAAGCGCCCTAGCTTCTTGATGCACACTGAGGGCCTTCAGCTGTTTGTTCAAGTCGCATCTTTTATTGCTGTGCTTGGTCTGACGTCGTTTTCGCGCATCCTTTTCCTCTTGCATGGGTGTCGCGTTAATGCGTTCGTTCTCGCGCAGGGCTACTTCGAGTTTTTCGCACAGGGCCTCCTAGAGTTCCCCGCGCGTCCTCTTTCGCTTACTCCTAACCATAGTTCTGCGAACACGAAAACGTGACGCGTTAGACAATGTCTAAGTACGCCGCACGTAGCAGTAGGTTTTCAAAGAGTAGTGTGCTGGAATATGCGTACTACCCGGGATCGCTTGCTCCCATCAAGGTTATCTCCGGTCACTTATCCCACACTCACGGGCAGGGAGGCCCGGAGCGGTTTTAGTTTGCAAATTGTGCAGTCGAATCTTCGGGGTTGGCCCCCGGATAGTACTATAGAGACTTCAAACCAATGCTGAGACGCCACGCGTCGCGCTGCCTGGAGTCCATAGTGCGCACTGCGCAGTAGCAACGTGCTGCAAGTTCAGTGAGCAAGAGGTACAAATGGTAGACCACCACCAGCCGAAGAAAGCACTTGAGGAAGAGCGCTTTGCTCTTCGTCCAACACGGTGGCTTGTCGGCATCTGTCTCTTCAGCGAAGGCGTTGAGCTGGTAAGGCGTTTGATTATGGTCGTCACGTGTCTGCTCCAAGTCTTATTTGCCGATAATTCGTTGCTTCATCTTCTTGTGGTACCGTGAAGTGTACTCCCTAGACGCTGTGCCGAAAGAGACCGAGAAGCGCCCCCAGCACGGGCGTTCATTAGCACAACGCACTTTGTGAAAATGAAACTCTCCGGAGACACGTCCAGTTTGGCGCCGTAAATGAACGCGAGGACCCGCAAGACGAAGAAAAACACAAGCACACTGACGCTCAGGTGCCAAGTGCCAGGTTCATGAGAGGTCCGACACTATTAAGTTCGATCAAAAGGCCATGGAGGTGGGCGGCAATACGACCACCGAAATCGAGGCGAACATGAGCGCGATGCCCAGTTGACGGCTGTGTTATAAGTCGGAGTAGAAGAAGGCGCCGGCCTCTGGCATGAAGACGCTCGTGATCAGCACCCCGTGTAGTAGTAGGTGGACAGTAGAGTCAGGATCGACTTGATCTGAGGCCGTAGCTCTGGCAGGTAGATTTCCTGGTGGGCCTGGAACGAGATAAAGCTCAGCGCGAAAGGATAGACGTATGAGCCAAGCATGTCACGACGTCCTCGTTCAACAAGTTGGACAGGAACGGACCCGATATGATGCCGGTTAACCGGTGATCAGCGGCAGATGGAAGAACTTGGGCAAAAACAGCCCGAGCGGATGCGTCACCCAACCACCGGAGCACTAAAGTCAGCAAGTGGTTCAGCGTGTCGGGAACATTGTTCCACGAGTTGAAAGGAACCGTCTTGTCATCATCTTCAGCCTCTTCAGCAAGAAGGCGCTCAGACGCCAAGAAGGTGTCAAGGCGCTGGTGTTCACGGCTATGAGCGCTGCAGCCAAAGCAACAGCATGTAGCCACTCGCGACAGAAGCGACTCATCGGTACTTGACTCGATGTCTTGGATGGGCAGCACTTTTTACTGCGACTCGGTGGAGAAGCCCAGGCCGGTGGCGTCAGGATCCTGGGCTTCAGCACCGCGGCACATCGAAACCCGAAGCAGCATGTAGTGCTGAACAACCCTCCGATTTGGACGGGGAGCAGCCTACCAAATGAACGAAAGGTTGCGAAATTGTGCCGGGCACATTTTTTGACCGGAGATTGGCGATGGCCAGGGATTGGTAGTACCGCATCGCCCCTGGCCTAAGCAAAGTTTTGTCTTAAGCGAATCGTAATTATAGCCAATCACAGCTTCCAATATTAGACAGATGGATTAAAATAAAGTACCATCTCGTGGAGCTAATTATGGGCTGTGCTGCCGGCTGGCTCCAATACGGCCATTGCTGAAAACGCGCAATGGGCAGGGCTTGTACCAAAGGAACCGGAAGAAAGCCAAAGCGCTACACACGGGTTGCAGTGGACTACACACACAAGCTAGAGCTGTTGAAGTATCTGGCAGGCGGACACGATGTGGGTGACGCCATCGCTCACTTCTATCCGGGCTGCCCTGGCAGCGCTAAGACGCGCAAGCAGAAACAGATTTCAAAGTGGAAGAAGTAGGAGGACGTTTTCAATCTGTCTGCGACGACAGCAAAGGCCACCTAAAGAATCTCCGCTTTAGTGGAGAAGCTACAATTATGTCAAGCGAAGCTGAATGCGCTATTGTGTTGTGGGTTAATTCTATACGCAAGGAGGGGTGCCCTGTTTCCACCCAAATGCTACGCTTCAAAGCCCTCGAAGTGGCCGCTGACGAAGGTCTATCGCCCGATATATTCAAGGCATCCTATTCTGGGCGCCGCCGATTTATGAGGAGACACAAGCTATCGATCCGGGCTCGGACGCGCCAGGGTCAGACGACACCAGAGGACGCGGACGCTGCCAAAGCAAAGTTCTGCGGGGACATGCGGGCTGCAATTGTTGAACACGGGATCACCAACGTGTACAACGCTGATCAAACAGGTAAGGTCATTACGGTATCTATATATACATCACACGATTGCATTGACACTGTATGAGTACTCTAGCTGTGTTCTTCGAATATCTACCTTGCAAGACAGTCTCAACCAAAGGGGCAAAGACGGTGTGGGTCAAGTGTAGCGGCAAAGAGAAAGAAAGAGCCACCGTAATGCTTCTCGGCCACTGGAATGTAAAAAAACATGCGCCGTTCGTCATTTTTAAGAGTGGCGTCTCACGCCACAAACACATTCAGCAAGAAAACGACTCCCTTCGGCATGAGTTTGGTGTACGTTTATGGAAGGAGATGTTTGTTCTTTAAGCTCTCCATGGCTGCCGTATTTATGGCAACCCGACAGCATGGTGGAATGCCCACATTTCACTAGTATTCCTTCAGTTCCACTTCGCATTTCGAGTAAATACGAACGAAAAGGTTGTACTGCTTTGGGACGACTTCTCTGGGCACTGGACTCAAGAGGTAATCGACTATGCAGCGTCAATAAATGTGGTGCTGATGAAGGTCCCACCGCGGTATACATACGTATGTCAGCCTTCCGACGTGGCATGGAACCAGCCATTTAAAAACCGTCTGAGAGGTCGCTGGCTGGACAGCTTGCGATGTCAGATTGGTCCCACTGGAAAAATATCGAGCTGAGGAGCTGCGTAAGCTGGGAGAACGAGAGGCTACGATTGCTAGGACGGGGATTCAAGAAGTTGCCAGCGAGAAGATATATCGCATACAGGAACAAGCACCAACTTCAGCTTTCGAGCTGGTGGCTCCCAAACGAGTTGATATTACATCATGGATAAATGAAAGCTGGGGAGAACTTAGCTCAGCTACAATTGTCAGCGGCTTTTCAAAGGTGGGTCTCTTTAGGGATACACGCGACGATGAGAATGCGATCGAGTCACCGGTGATCGATGAAATAACAGAGCTCCTGGATCAGCTGGATGAGCTTGGTGCTGCTGGTAAATCAGTTGGGAGCGACGATGAATATGCCAGTAGTCCTGATGATGACTTTCCCTTTTAAGAAACAAATAAATAGTACTTGATTTAAATGCGAAGGTACCCAAGTGTGCTTGGACACGTAGCTCAAGTGGCAAAAGCACCGCGTTTTTATGCGGATGGACGCGGATTCAATTCCCGCCTTGTCCATTTTTTTTGACTGGCTCAAAATTTATTAATTCCTAAGTTTTATAAGCTAATTTTCCGTAATGAAAATAATTCTACCGCGACCTAAATACATTGCAGTTCGCTTAGGACAGGGGAGACGCGGTATATTGCTTTGCCAGTAATAGATAGTACTATAATACTTTGAAAACTAATATAGTAGCCAGCAGTTTTGTCAAATCTGATTCTACTGTTACTATAGTATCCAGTAACTCAGGTTACAGCTTCGCCAGTACTGTCGAGTTACTGGCCCTCTTTAGCAAAGTTGTAGCCTGCCTGGACGAGATAGCGGCAAACCTAACAGTTGATATTATCATAGAGGTAGCCAGGAAGGCATCTTAGACCCCAGCGATTGTTGGCACGACCCAAAGCAGCAGATGTGACGGTAATGATACTTATATCCTGTACTATCCACTTTAAGCCGCCGGTTTATCTTATTGATATACTGTATCTACCAGTACTGATGCCTCTATTGAGCAACAAGCCTCCACCAATGTATATTTAGTTGTCAAAGAAGAAGTAGAAGCGCCAGTAGGCGATACGCAGCCATGGAATTCTGCAGGACATTTGGTATGTCCTGCACCCTTAAAAGATGATCGAATTTACTAGCCTGTATCTAAGCGTTTGTTGAATTTCCGATTAGGCAGCAGCACTGCAGTGATTGAAGGTGGATCAGTACCGCTTACACTGCGATATGGAAGTCCATTTGCGGGCTCGGAATACACTCCATCACCGCGCCGCAACTTGAGAGATGCTTTTGCTGGTGAATTGGGGAGAGAGAGAGATAACGCATTCAGTGCAGAAGAAAAGGACAGTGATTATGAAGAGCTGCATTCATAATCTAAAATAGGCCCACGCCTTTCTTCGAAATAGATGCTTCATTGTCAGGTTGGTCACTATGTATGTACAGGTCAATGACACCAAGCAATTCATATTGTGTTGCTCTTTGACGGCGTACTGTATTCGGTGAGTATTGGGCGTGCCTGCCGGCGTGCCCTTCTTTGTGGCCCTAAGTTATATTATCCTGTACCTACAAGCTACTAGAAGTGGCGTTTTGTATCTTACAGGTTTGAATTGTATTGCGGTAAAACGCAGACTGGGGCAAGTGCTGCTGCAACGGACGCGAAGTCCGGACCAGCTGCGGTTGTTTGAAATCTAATTGAGGTGTTTGGAGGCGATGGGACGGACAAAAAGCGTTTGGTCGTGACCGATCGGTTTTATACGTCACCTTCACTTACAATGCCGCTTCTGGGCCTAGGCATCTAAGGCATCGGGATTATCATGACGAATCGCAGCCCGTACAGGCACGGTGTTCTTTGCCTTCGTCTCGTTCCCGGAATGAGTCGCCTGGCTTCGCGTCGTCACCGCCAATACCACGTCGGTGTTCTGCTGCGGTTGTTTCGACGCAACCGTCGCTCCTCCTCACTTAAGGAAGAGCTAACCCTTCCGAGAAAGCTCGGAAGGCGTGTATGCCGCATGGCATTCACGTAAAACGGTGTATGTCCTGTCATGGCATTCACCGGGTGGTTGATGGCAAGCTCTACCATCGGCAAGCAGTCGCTCCACGGCGGGGACGAGTGTGCGTAGCTCTTCAGTACGTCATCAAGAACGCGATTCACGCGCTCGGTCTGTCCGTCCGTCTGCGAAGGGATCCGCAGTCGACATCTACAGATGTGTTCCAAGCAGAGTAAGCGCTTCTTGCCAGAGCCGCGCAGTAAAGCGTGAATCACGGTTCGACACAATGTCGAGCAGCATGCGATGGTGTCGGAACACCATGCCAGCAAACAGCGGTGACGGCAGCCGGCACGGCAGCAAGAAGAACCATCTTGGTGAATCGGCCAACAAAGGCCACAACGTCAGTCCTCCGCTTGTTGTCCGGCGGAAGGCCGACAACAAGTCCATAGAAATGAACTGCCCCCACTCCGACGGTGCGGTCAACGCCCAAGTAAATACACTCGGAGCTTCGCGAGTGCATACTTCATAGCAATGAGCTCCTTGTCATGTTTCGGGTAGTACGCTTAGCTGGGTTCCGCCGACGCGACTGGCAGTAAACCACACGACCATGGTCTTCGTGAGCGTGCTACATCAACGCGCATCCGATTGCAAAGTAGGACGCGTCTCACCCAATGTGGGATGGGTATTCTTGGTCAGTCACTGCCAAGATCGCCACCTCAGCCAAGCCCTGCTTGACTGTATCGAAGGCCTGCTTACACTTAGCAGTCCAAATCCACTCAGCTTCCTTCTTCAAAATCTGTGACAGCGCGCGAATCTTGCCCGCGTAATTCCCAGCGCACTTGCACAAGTACGCTGCAAGTCCAAGGAGCTGTCTTAGTTCTTTCATGTTGTAGGTCGTTCATTGATCACTCTGACATTTTCTGGAGCAGGGCGTACGACGCTCGCCCCGAGGAAATATATTTCTTCAGGTTAGCATAGCGCTCCTGTTTACGCATAAGCCCTTGCATTTGACGGAGGTGCTCTTTGTGCACCTCGACGTCGGACTTCCCGTCCACAGACCGGCTGTGAGCTAACACGTCGTCGAAGTAGCTCGGTGCGAAGTCACGCTCTTAGCGCAATTGATGTGTTACACATCTATTGAAGGTTGCAGGGGCGTTAGTCAGTCCCTGCGGTATTACGAGCCTCTCCCAAAGCATACCGCTTGGCGTGCTCACCGCCGTGAGGGAATGTCACTCTCACGCATCAGGATCTGATTGACCCGTCGCGCAGATTAATTGCTCTATTGATGATACTCCCGGCCATCGAGTCGATGATAACATCTTTTCGTGGTATCAGTGTCTGCGCCAGTATCGTCGTATCATTTAGATAATTGTACGCATCAACGTTGCCTTGTGGTTTGTTGACACAGAAGGTTGTAGACACGCGCGACTGCAATACCCGTAGGTCGCCCCCCCCCCCCCGCCTACTGGTTTTACACATTTTGTAGCGTATGCGACGTCCGGCATCGCCACGCGCTGTGCACTCACGCGCAAAAGTGTCCGGTGTACCCACATCGGTAACACTGCACTTGTCCTCCAACACGCTGTTGGAGTCCAGCAGCAGAAGCATCTGAGTGGTCCATAGGCTCTGGACTTCCCGCTCTCATCATCGGATGTGCTATCATCCCGACGCTCTCATGCAGCTTAGCCTGCTTCCGGCTAAACCCCTCCTACATTGCAAGAGCAATCGCAGCTTCGAGAGTACTTGGGTACTCTCGGAAGAGATAGGCCTTAACCAACCCATCCTTCAACCCCTCCATGAACGTGACGACCTTTGCCGCCTCGTCGATCGGATTGTCACGATGTTCTAGACCAAGTTCCGCGCACGTTGGGCGTTAGCATAAAGCGTATGATTACCTTGGCGCAGGTCGCGTGACTCCGCTTTTGACCAGAATCTCATTTTGAGGGCTCTCAAACGCTTGCCTGAGCTCCTCCTTGAATATTGCATACGTGCTTTAGCACGTCTGATCTGTGAGCCGGCGGTCATACGCCAAGCACCTTGCTCGTCTGTCAAGACATGCCATGGCGGACGCAACCTTCGACGGTTCGTCAGTGATATGACGAGCCGTTATGGCAGTGTCGCCTTCGACAAGCCATCGGAGAAGAGGCTCGCCCTCTTTACCCACATAGCTGCTCACGTGCAGCTCCAACGACTGCACGGGCGGTATTGTTTCGGACGCGATTCATCCCAGAGTAATGTCGAGCTGCTCTATCGGCGACAGCGTACGTTTCATTGTCGCTACGGTTACCTCTCCAATGACTGTTGAGTGTCTTTGGAGAGCTTCTCACTCTGGATCCGTCACATGGGGGCCGTCTGCATGCACAATGTGCGTGGCAGAAGCACTTGGACTACACATAGACGGATTACTGTCCATGGGCTGGCTATCCGCCCCGTGATCGTTTTCCAAACGAACTCGTCAGGTAGTCGGTCGTTGAACGGACTATTAAGTACCACCAGGTGTAATGGGCCTACTCTGTGCCCACAACTTTGGCTTACACGTTAGCGAACGTGTATGAGGAAGCATAAGTTGCGTTTCACTTAGATTAACTTTGTTTTTGTCCAAAAGTATAGATTTACGTAAATAGGAAAGCAAAGCCGATTTCCGGTATAAATGAGAACTGTTAATTTTTTTAGGTTTCCTCCCCCAATCTAATATTCTAAATGAAGGGTATTTGTCAACAGAATCCTACTGATTACAGATATTGACTTTCACCCAATGAATGCCCGATATGCATGTAGAAACAGTCTGCCAAATGTAATCATTGGTGTATCTCACACCAACGTGGAAAACCTCTTTCGTAGCCAAGTGGCTACATGTAGCAAGTTGCATGTAGCCCTGTTATTACGTCGCTAGATATTTTGAGGGCTTAACGAATCGCACAAGACATCAAATTTGAAGATAAACCATCGGTGAGGACAGAATCTTCCACCATGAGGAACTAAGTGGAGTCCTAAATAAAGATCCTCGCCATAAAGCCGCATGTCGTCGCTCTGCTTTCTGCTGCTTATCTGATCGTGCACTGGATCACCTTTGGCAGCAACGTTTCTGAACAACCTGCTACCAGTTACCGTCATATTTCATCCTTTTTTAGCGAGTTTAGTTGTTGACGTTGTTTTCTTCTGCCCTGCGGTACCTCAACGGCCATCGACAGTCAAACACGACCGGTGTTCTACGTGGCTCACTACCAATGCAATTACGCCGTGTGCTGAATAATGGCTGCGTGCAATCGGCGGCTTTCTTTTAGTCGATGATACGCAATAGTTAAATCAAGTAAATAAAACGTTTGAAATTCGAGACTTATTTTAATAATAAATTCGAGACTTATTTTAATACTTGGTCATATCTTCTGAGTCCAAAACACGATACAGATCGCAATTCCAACAGGGGTACGTAAAAACCATACACTATGTATGGAAGCGCGAAAATTGGGACGAAACCCATAGTAGTCAATACAAAGCACAAGTGAAAGGTGCAAAGCTCTATCTCCAGTAGCGTTTAGTGTCTTCTATTCATTGGCAGCAGCGTAATAATATCACATATGACCTACCGATAACTGCATTGAAAATGTGTTCTATTGGTTCGTCGATGGTGCCTCTCCACCACTCTTTCTGTTGAGTAAATAGTGCAGATCAAGGATTGGAGCGCTCGCCTTTAATACTTCAAGTATTAATCGTATTAATAGTTAAAGGGGGGTAATAAGAGGCTCAAAAATACTTCAACTGGTCAGTGTAAGATTTGTTGTGCAGACAATGTTTTGCTCATCAAGAACATACCAGAAACATGAAAAAATGAAAGTGACCTGCGTGCTTCTATCTTACTTCAGTATACGAGACATTAAAGAGGAACGGCTTTTATTTTGATTTAGCCATTGTCCAGAATATTGATATTATCAGATCTGCTCCAAGGGGAAAATACCCGCAGTCCGACGTCTTCGTAAGTACGACAACGTATCTTCATTCGGTTCCAGCTGCAACTATATAAAGTGAGTGAGCCCCAGGCTTCCACTGTGACTTCCACTCTTCTAAACCACGTTTGTTACCACAGCCCATTCCCTTGCGGTAAATTGATACTTCATTGCCCCCAATCACGTTCAAAACCGTCTCCACCGACACAATTTAGCCATTGGGCGCGCACTATCTAACGTGTCGATCCCCCATCGTACTTTTATCCATCGCGAGAAGGAGCAAAATGCGAGCGACCATTCCACCAATTCCACCTGTGTCCAGTACTTCGTCCAGACTTAACTTCTTCAGCTGCGGAAGAATATACTTCGACAAACCGTTCTCCGAAGAATACCATACTTTAATCGCACTCAACGTAAGAGCCAGATTGGACGCGTAGTTACTCAGGTAGCTCTTTTTCTCGGGACTTCACATACGCAATGACAGCCATGAAGTCTGCAGCGATCTGCGACTCCAGTGTCGACGTTCAATATGGATGTACCTCTCGTCGCCAGAGCATTGACGCAGCACCAAACATGGTTTTCTCGGTGTATGAGGTTGGAAGAAGATAAGGGAGCCCCCGCAGCAGCGAATTTGACGCCAAGTTGGCTACGTCGTCTGACGACGTTGCGTGGTTAGTGAGCCACATTGGACGCCCCATGCGCTGTAATGCTTTCCAGGCATCGTCCTCACTCCCGGTCACAATCGCCTTTTAAGCAGCTACTTCAGACTTCTCCTCCCTTAAAATCTCCACCTGTTCACGCCCGATCGTGTCATCACCCTCCGACTTGCTTTCCTCCCATTGATCATCTCCACTGGGCATCAAATTTAGATAGTACTTTGCGTCCATAGTGTGAGTCAGCACAAAAGGAGGAAAGTTCAACCGTTCACTACTGCTTTTGTAGTATCGAGAAGACGGATCGGTCAGTAGCGACGAAGTTAAGTCCGAGTTCGTATCGAGTGGCAAGTCTGACACCCTGGGGTTCGAATCAACCAAAACACCATAAATGCCTCCTTCTGCGCCGATATTGTCGTTGACCAAAGCAAGCACTCGCCGTAACAGACGAAAATCATTGAATTTGACTAGACTTTGACATCTTCGATTCGTAAAACCGTGGTCAAGCTGGGTCACCACTCACTTGATTTAGGATTCAATATTGCAGCTTATAAGTGTATGCGTCATTTTCATTTGAAATACTAGGCTTTAGCTTCACGCCACTACAAGTCTGACCACAGATCTGTGTTTCAGCAGGATGGTCGAGTTTTCGATCACCCTAAAACTTTAGAAACGCGCTTTAGAAATCCAGAGATCAACATTATGTCCGAAAAGGCTCAGATTTCTCTGGGATAGGTAGATCCAGACATCTCGGTAGTAATTTGAGTATATTTCCATTCTTCATTTTTCTGTCTCGTCGTTTTACCGAAAGGGCTCATGCAACGGGCCAAAATCGCGTTTACGGAGACAGCGTATCTCGGGGATGCGCACCTAAAGTTTGAAGAGTACCTCTTGTGCTGCTGGCGAGCTTACGACTCTGAGACTTTCAAGGCCCCGTATGTGACGGTCGTTCAGAGCTCGGGCTTCGGGAAGAGTCGGATGCTGTTCGAGTTGGCGCGCAAGGCAAAAAATGATCAGGGCTCTCAGATGAAAGTCCTGTATACGTGCGTCCGCTTATACGGGTCGACGGGGTATCCAGAGGCGACAATATGTCTCCGTGACTGGTTGACCGCATGGTCTTCTACCATCGAGCAGATTGCTTCTCGTTTGGAAGCCATCTACAACTATGCAATAAACAACTGGGCGGATGTGCAAGCTGAGTGGTTCAATATGTTTAAGGAGGGAGCAGATTCGGATGCTTTGAGCAACCTATTTCAGCAAGCACGAAACGACCAGGAGGGCGAAAAGAAGAAGATTGTTGACTCCTCAGTAAAGAAGAATCAGGACGGCAAGATGGTGGTGTTGGTGGTTGACGAAGCAAGGTCCCTACTTAAGGTAAAGGCGAACCCAGGGGCGTCAATCGTCAAAGTCAATGATTTCCGTCTATTACGACGAGCGCTTGCTTTGGTCAACAACAGAATCGGAGCAGAAGGAGGCATTTTCGGGGTGTTTATAGATACGAGCCTTAAGATCTCGGACTCCGAGTCGAAGGTAAGGTCGCCGTTAGCGTCCGACCCGTCTTCTCGACGATACAGAAACACTGGAGTGGCGACTTTTCCTCCTTTTGTGCTGACTCACACTATGGATACTCATTGGCGGGAGTATTATCTGAAATTAAATGAGCGTAATCGAAAAAAGTTAAGAAAGGCCGATGATGATGACATGACCGGAGGTGGACAGGTGGAAAATCTAACGTTAAGTGCGGAGGCGGAGCTGAAGGCTGAAATAGCTGCGTACAAGGCGATTGTGACCGGGAGCGAGAACGATGGTTGGAGCGCGTTGCTGCGCATGGGTCGCCCAATGTGGTGGAGCACTTTCACCGAACGAGATGGATTGCCACAAGTTTTTCTTTCAGATCTAGTCACCCAAGCAGCAAATATGCTGCTGATGGGGAATGATTTTAAACAAGAAGCCTCGTACAACGAGAAGACCATGTTTGGTGTTGCGTCGATGCTCTGCCGACTGGGTGTACGTCCGTACTCAACGTCGACGTTGGCGTCGCAGGTAGTCGCGGATTTCATGGCTGTCCTCGCCTACGTGAAATTCGAGAGCGAGGGCTACTTGAGTAGCTATGCGTCGGATCCGGTGCTTGCGTTGGGTGCGATTAAAGTGTGGCATTTCCTGAAGGACGGCTTGTCCAAGTATATTCTTCCGCAGCTGAAGAAGTTGATCCTGGATGAAGCACTGGACACAGGTGGGATTTGTGAAATGGTCGCTCGCATTTTGCTCCTTCTCGCGATGGACAAGTGTGTGATGAGAGATCGAATCAAACCAAAGGGCCAATTTGTGTCGGTGGAGTCGTTTTTGAACGTGATGGGGTGCGATAAAGTTGAAGTTTATATCGAGGGAATGCTCCCTGGAAACAAAGAAACGTTTACCGAGTGGAAGTCAGAGTGGAAGGACTGGCGCATGGGGTTCACTCACTTCATACAGCTGCAGGTTGAGCCGACAGAAGATACGCTGTGGTATTTGTTGGGACGTCGGGCTGCGGGTATTCTCCCTCGCAACCAGCTTGAAGCAGATCTGATGATCCCAGTATTTTGGAACAAAGATGGCGAGAAGGAGCGAGTGTCATTCATGCTCATTCAGGTGAAAAGCCATATACCAAAAGACGATGGTTTCTCCCAAGCAGCATCGAAGAAGTTGTCTCCTTGGTTCGTGTTTGAAAGTCCACATTCGAAAGGCGAGAAACCTAAGGAGGGTCCAGCACTTAAGAAACCTGCAGTGAAGCCAGCACCCAAGAAACGCACGGTGAATGAATACCCCTTGAGCGAGACGCCTGTTAGCGATGTTATTCGTATATGCATGAATCTGAGCAAAGAAGAAACTTCCGGTCCTGAGTCGCTGAACGATTCTTTTCCGTTCATCTCTTCCACGTCGTTGACGAAGGACAGCAGCACACCAGAAGCGCGAGGAGAAGATACGGACGTTTACACGCTTTGTTTTCGCTCGCTGGGTTGTGAGACGTACCCCTTCTTAAAGGAAGATGTGGCTCAATGTCTCGCGAGTATTGTGGCTTCTCCATGGGATCCCATGGCACTTGTAGACGGTGATCTGAAACGTCGTGGTAAAGGCACTAAGGCCGAAACGCTACAGGAGGCTCTAACAAGGGCGATGCCAGATCATGAGTTAAAACAGACGGCGCGCCGTGGGCTTGCCTGCACTCCCGGTCACAATCTGAAATACCAAGATGAAAAATCTAAAAAGAAGAAGAGTCGCTCGGGAGGTCAGATCATTTAACCAATGGTTGGTTTTGAATGACCTTGTACCAAATATTCCGGAGTATGACATGTCATACTCCTGAAGTGTGAAGTGTCACACTTCATGTAACCAGGGTACACTTAGTGCTACGTACCCCGTTACACGAAAAAACTCGAAAAGACAGAAATAGTCGTTGAAATAGTATACTAATATGACCTCTACTACTACCGCTGTGTAGAAGCTCTACTACAATGCAGTGGAGCAAAGCCATTCGACATGAGCTGGAGGAAAACGAGACTATTAAGAACTGCTTTCGCCATACTGGGATTGCCTTTCATGGATTCGACGAAAACAGCAAGGACACCAGCGCTTCCAGCTACGATAGTAACTTAGATATAGAGTACATTGTCATGCGCCCTTCGCAGCTGAGCATTTAGAGGCAGCAACTCCTTAATAAAAGTTTATAACATTATATACGGTCGGACCATGGTACCGGATTGGACAGCGCTTACTGTAGTATCAATATCCGTACAGTCCCGATATTCCCGCAGGGAAGGTAGTAGTATTACAGTACCGGGAATTTCCCGGTAATACTACTACTACCTTTTTTACGCTACTACCAATCCAAGACAAACGTTAATGCTGACACATCATACTTGAAAAGCATCCGAGATTACCGTATTCCTTATGTGATTGGCGACAGTCAAATTCTTGAGGTGGTCCAGCCTTTCTGCCAGCATAAAAGATACCTGCATAGAAAAACTATTTTACATGCTCAAAATTATACATGTATTGGTCGCCAAGCACATAAAGCGCGACGACACGAAATTTAAATCAATTTGATTGGCTGCTGGATTTGTCGCTAATGACCGAGCGTCGCCAATCACATAAGGAATACGGTATAGACATAATCTTATTGCGCATTTCAATGCGTTTGTCCTTTTCACTTAGCCTGATCCTCGATTTATAGTAAATGAGATCGATTTTATTAACAGGGCTCTAGTCAAGGGCCTTCGTTGCGTTGTCTAGCGATAATTTCCTGCTTGTCGAGTAGAAAAATTAGCACCGTTGTGGAATCTAGACTCTAGACTCCACAATTAGGAAAATAAGGCATTTATCTATATCCCTGAAACCCAAACCCAAAACGTGGAGGCTAAACCTTAAGCCCGCTACCACCGGCATGCGGGCCTCGCTTGATAGTGATGGCCATTATCGGTCCTGGGTTTGCACCCGCGTGCTACGCACACGGTCTACAAACCGCAGGCATGCTCGCTGCGGTACCCTACGCGCTTCGCACGGGGTCAAGTGTGGCCATAGTCCTTCTTGCAATAAACTTCCCGAAAAACATCCGTTTCTTAGCGAGTGATCCAACATTTACTCGAAACTATATATTTAAAATATTTAAATTTTCCGCAACGTACATCCTTGTTCTGCTTTGAAGACCGAGAGCATGCCAGCGTTACGCTTCAGCTGCGACGCGTAGATGACACCATCGACGAAGTGCAACACTGTCTTGTCCTTGGACTCGTGTGCGATGTTACAAATATTGGTGTGTGTTTGTTGTGGCCAACTCGGAGGTGATTACACTCTCACGATGCAAAGAGCTCGCTGTAACAACAACGGTTGTTGTCTTTTCTGGTACAGTTCGATCGGTCAACCACCAAAAGAGCATGTATTGATTGACGACCTTAACGCCATTAAAACCTGCTCTTATTTAAAATTAAAGCAAAACCATTGAGCTCAAGCGACGAGAAATAATCACGGGTTGCCCCTGCCACGTTTGGCAGCCCTTTCATTGCATTTCTATAGGTAACTGATAGTTTGTATTAACCACAAACTTAACCTACCTATAAATATACTCAGTTTACAATCTACCTTATTTAGGTCACTTCGCTCTCTTTAATTAAAGAGGGGACCTGTGAACTGCCGTTCACTGAGAGTTTGTATACTCTCGGAAGATAACTTCCTCTAGCGCAAGGTGCTGTGTGACCCCGTCACACTTGGTAGCACTTGTAGTCAATCCACGCCATCGCGGGTAGACTACCTGAACCTCCGAAGTTCGTTGCCATGGATAGGAACGACTTCTCCCATATGAACGACTCTCAGTTCGAGTCGGTTCGGAAGATGGCAGGCATCTTCGGGATGGAGGCCCTGCAGAGCCTGGTGGTATCAACACCGGCTGAGCAGCTCGAGCGCGTCAATGCATTCGACGCGTACGAGCAGGGCCTCATCGCGCATGTGCGGGAGAACCTGCAGGCTCCGGCGGCGGGAGCAAACCCGGCTCACCCGAAGCCAATACGGCTGAAGGTAAAGCCGTATGAAGGGAAGGAAGGCGAGAACCTTCACTTCTGGGTCCGAGAAGTAGAGCTTGCGATGGACGCGGCTCTGATCTCGACCGAGCAACTGCGTGTTGCTTTTGCACTCTCCAACCTTAGCGGTCGTGCTAAGAGTTGGGTGTACACTCGGGAAGCGACATCCCCTGGATGTTTCACATCCTGGGCTCAGCTGTGCGAACAGCTCCGAGCCGCGTTCCTCCCGGCGAACTACGAGTACCGCCAGCGTTCGCGCTTCCTCGCGTGTAAACAAGGAAGACGCGAACTGCACGAGTATGTGCAAGAGATACGGGAGCTCACGGCGTCCCCTAGTGGGAAACCCACTCAATGAAACACATCAAGATGACTGTGTTCATGGACGGCCTTCGAGTGGGCCCCCGCACGCACTCAGCTGTTCCGGGTGCAGGCAAACACCCTTGAAGAGGCGATTCAAGTGGCTCTTCAAGAAGAATACAGCCATCGCCAGGCGCGTACGCCGGCCTCAGCGTGGCCTGGGAGTTCCTTGTCGGCTCCCGGTCGAACAAGCCCCAACGGACCAGTTCCCATGGAACTCGGGTCCGCCGAACAGCGTGACATCCGCTGCTTCGGCTGTGGGAAGATAGACCACTTCAAGCGCGACGGTCCCGCGAAAAGACTCCGCAGACGGTCCTTCCCCAAGCCCGTCCTCAAGGGTCGCTGGCAGAAGCCAGGATCCCGGGGACAGGGGAACGCAGGGAACCAGTAGGGGCGGGGCGCCCTACTGGGGAAGAACTAAGTCTTCGTGATGGGTGCGCGGGTGGCGCGTACCACGGGGACTTAGCCCCTGAGAGTCTTCGCACTCTCGAATCGGCGAAGAGCAGCGGCGGGTTGCTCGTAGTACACGGATGTGTACGGGGGTACGATCACCCCTTTAGAATCTTGATTGACTCGGGGGCGTCGAAGAATTTCGCACGCCGCCAGACGGTTGCTCGTAACAGCAACAAGTTGTCCGAAGCTTTGCGAGAAAGCAAGGGCAACGGGACGGTGTCAGTGCGACTGGCCGACGGGAAGGTCGTCACTGTCCCCAACGTCCAAGTGGATCTGGCTGTCAAGTTTGAAGACTTTGACAGCCTCGAACAGTTCACTGTTCTCGATATGGATCCATATGATATGATCCTGGGCATGCCCTGGCTTGAGAAGCACGAGCCCTGGATCGACTGGCGAGGCAAGGCAATCGGTGCCAGCCGCCCTGCGCAGTCCGACAGAACATTGGTGAGTCATGTTCCCACCTCTGTCAGGACCCGGGGCGCCCGCGAGGGCTGCCAGGGTACCAAAGCATCCGGCAGATGCTTGGGAGTCGTCGACGTATATGACGACTCCGAGGATGTTTTGATGGTGGCCGCGCCCAGAAGAGGCGCCGGTCAAGTGGGTAACTTAGGTCCACAGGCGGGTAACTTAGTTCCGCAGACAGCTGCAGCTGTCATGAACACTGAGAACAGCGTGTTCAGAGTGGGTAACAGAGTTCCACTCACGGTCGCCCAGACCATAACTGAAGAGGAAGACGTCGGATACGCTTCCTGTGTGGGTAACACAGTGCCACACGCGGTCGCCCAGACCTTAACTGAAGAGGAAGGCGTTGAACACGCTTCCTGTGTGGGTACAACAGTACCACACGAGGCCACGAGTGCCTCGGATGTCGTAGCGACGACATCCCTAGACGTGGGCAGCAAAGCTCCCCGTCACAGAAGCCGTCGGCAAAGACGCCGCCGCCGCCTCAAGTCGGATCCGAACTTCGTTCCGATCGACGTCGCTTCAAGCGACTCGGAGTCCAGGGCCCGGGCTCCTCCGACAAGGCCGGTGGAAGAGTGCTATCACATCTTCGATAGCGAGACGGGTTTACCCGTCAAGGCATCTGGTGTCCACTTGGAACAGTTGCCAGAGGTTGCAGAGATACTGAACCTCGAGGAAATGACGGCTGAGTCTTTCCTGGCCAACCTCAAGGCTGGAGAGATCGCTGAGATGGTACTCATAAGAC